TATTAGAATATGGTTACAGTATGACGTGTAAAAAATACAAGCCCCTTATAAACAATATGGGAGCCATGGCTGAGTTCTAGAGCTTGAGCCCCTCGAGTTATTTGCAGCTCATGTGGTCATTTGACGACTTTACTTTCTTCTAATTGTTGGACAGAAGCCTGTTTCCTTGCTGTAACTCAGGCCTAGTCTTTGCTCATAGAGGCCACGTGATATTCTTGTGACCCTCTTCTAACATGACAGCTCCCATCTTCAAGACCTGAAGGAGACTCTCAGACACTTAACATACAGTCTTATGTAAGGAATGATGGAAAAATATAATGAATGTTTAACTTTTTAAGAATTATTACAGTAAAAGATGCATTACCATTAATCTGTCAAAATACTCCTCTTTGCTTTCAACACTTATCTCACCATTCTTGCTGCTTTCTGAAGCTGTTGGAAGTCCCCTTTTCTGAGTGTCTTTAGTTGTGCTGTTGTGCTGTCTTCATATGCTGAATCAGTTCAAAACATTTACCCTTCATAGTCTTTTTGTCTTAAGGGAGGAGCTAGAAGTCGCACAGTGCCAGTTTGGGTAAATAAGGTGGATGAGAACACACCACAATGTTAGTATGAGCCTGCCTTAGCCTTGATGGCACTTGGCAGCAAGCACATGATGTAGTTTTTATCACACCAGGTAAAGATGACTGAGGACTTCCAAACCTGCAGCAAAAAGTGGCAAGAATGATGGAATGAGTGTGTGTTGAAGGAGGGGAAATATTTTAGGAGATTAATGTGCATTTTACTATAACAAATATTTTGAAATTTAAACATAAACCATATATTTTGATCACACCTTGTATAATGTAGCCTAGTCAAGAGAGTGACTATTCCACTGGTGTATTCAGTGGTGGAAACAAGTCACAGATTCTGCCTGGCCTTAAGTAGAGGGGTTCATACAAGGACCTTACTCACTGGTAGACACCATAGGATGCAACTCTTAGAAACTATTAATTTAACTTGTAGAATACACATTGATGATGATGCATGATTGAGACTGAATGATGAAGCAGTAAAGAAACATTTTCTCACATTAAGAAAAAAATACAAGCCCAAAATCAATCTTTTAATCTTACAACAGCACACCTCCTGTATACAACACAGAGACTAGCATTTTGTAATTCTTTCTTGAATGTCCATGGAAAAAGTAGATGTTATCTTTTATAAATCTTTTTTTCTGATTTAGGTCCCACCTTGTATACCTTTAGTTTTATACCCCATTGACTTTTCTGCTTCAAGGATGGCCTTTGTAGTTATAAGTACTAATAGGAGTGCTCTGCTGCGGGGTACGTAACTGTTGGGTCAGTCTTATTATTGGAGAATAGAAATAATGTTTTTGTGAAATGATGTACTGAATAAAGGGAAAGCAGTTTTCATATCTTTCATAAAGTGGGATATATTCAGATTTACTATGGACCACTGATAGTTTACAGTGTACTACTATTAACCATGTATCGCTAGTGATCTTTTTTCAGAGGATTGTATATTTAAAATATTTTAAGTAGAATATCTTCATTAGAGTTAATTTAGATATTATAGTTTATGCAATAATTTGGTAAATTATTTTTATATTCTGAAGATATTATAATTGTAAAGGATGATGTTATTAAGAGTTTTCACTAGTAAAGGAATGACTTCCTTTTACTTAAGGTTTTATTTATGTTGAAACCAATGATAGTGATTTTTGTACTTAAAGCAATTGTATTTTAAGATCCAGATCCTGTGCAGGAGCTTACCTATGATTTACGAAGCCAGTGTGATGCCATCAGGGTGACGAAAACTGTCCGTCCCTTCAGTATGGTGTGCTGTCCTGTCAACGAGAATGCAGCTGCTCTCATAGTGAGTGACGGCAGGGTCATGATATGGGAACTCAAGTCTGCTGTGTGCAGTCGGACTTCGAGGAGCAGGTAAGCGATCAAGGGATTGTATTTTTGATAGATTTTTTTCCTTTTTTTGGCGGGACCGGGGATTGAACTCGGGCCCTTGCGCTTGCCAGGCAAGTATTTATTCTACTGAGTCATCTCCCCAGCCCCCGGGATTGTATTTTTGTTTACTGTAATGTTTTTTAAATTACCAGCATCATATAAAATAGGCAATTTTTCCATAAAATACAATTTAAGTAGATAATTCAAGATTTAGATTAATAGATAATTATGTAAACCTACCAAAACTCTTTAACCTATGGATAACATTAATAAAAGTAGAATACTGTGATTTAGAATTTATGTTTTAATTTCTTACTATGTAATGCTGGTTTTAAATATGTGAAACCGTGTAATTATTATATCTTCACAGTAGTTCTGGCGTGTCACCTTTGTATTCACCAGTGTCTTTCTGTGGAATTCCTGTAGGAGTGCTACAAAATAAACTCCCAGATCTTTCCCTAGATAACATGATTGGTAAGGTTTTTCTTTTTCTTTATTTTTCTAACTTTCATGTGCATATTCTTTTTGAAGGGAAAAATTGATAGTCACTGAAATGCACTTATAAAGTCAAAATTAGTACTTGAAAAAATAAAATAGAGAATTATTCTTTCTTAAATCAGAAGGATGTGAAATAAGTATGGAAGTGCCTAAAGCAGCATAGATAGCTTTATGACTGTTAAGATTTGTTCATTCTTAAGAAACTGATTGAAATGAAACATGATATCAGGCATCTGGGTTCTAGGTGTAGAATCCTTACTGAGCAGCTCTCACCTCCGCAGAGCCTCTGTAGTCATTGGCCCTTTGGCTTGGAGTTCAATGTGTTCTTTCTCTTTCTCCCTTTTTGATGATCCCAATTCAAACTTAAACTCCAATATTGCCTCCTTTAATCTCTTTGGCCTGATTTCAGTGTAGTCCCAAAGTTATCACCTGTCTTCTGAGTATGCATTTTATTTGTCTTTCCTCAAATAAATTATATACTCTACAAAGGTGGGATGGCGTTTGTTCCAATTTTGTGCACTCAAGCATACTGCACAGGGCCTCATGTAGTCTAGATGTGCAGCCTACATGCATATATTGTATATATGAAGATTTGTGATTCGAAGTGTTATACAAGTTGAAATTGTAAGATTGTACATATGCTAAGTAATTTTGACACGTAATTCTTTTAAACCACTCGTGGGTGTGGTGGTTTTTTTTTTTAATTTTTTTTTTAATTTTTTTTTCTACAGTTTTATTGATAAACATATAGCAATGAGACAGTTTCAAATCAAATCAGAAGTACAGTTTCAACAAATAATACACTGCACATATTCTTCTTAGTGGTTAATTGCTGTACAAGATGCGGACTTGTGATCCTATTTACAAACACCATTAGAACAAATCATTCCAGTCATTAAGACAATGCAACTATATATCTACCCCAACCACTTTGAATACACAGATACAGAATGGACATTCATCGGTGTACCCCATTTTTCCTAAGTTCCGTTACTGAATATTATAGCTGTGTAAACTCAGCAAAATATTCTAAAAGAGTCCAGTAGCCCATAATAGCATTGGGTCTTCTGTTTAACTGGCAATGTCAGAAATTATTGACCTGAGTCCCCCACAGCTTAACTTAACAGCATGGCTTTATTTCTTATATTTCGTCTTCATACTTTTCTACTGGATGGTTAAGACCAAGGTAAAGCAGGACCTGTGCAACAAGAGTTGTAGCTTTTTGGTCTGAGAAGGTTAATGAAATGCCCTCAGGATTTGTCCTGAGATCCTGTACCTTAGATTGTAGAACCTTTATCAGTGCAGCCATGTGGATGAGTCACGACCATTGCTTGGCCAATGTGCTCTCTGTGAAAGCCTGAGAGAGTGCCTTCTCCCCATGTGACTCTCCTTAGGCCCACTCTATGTCATCGATCACTTTCCTCTTTGGCCCCATAATCTTCTTGATCAGAAAATTTGGGACACTACCGAGGTACATGACGTTACAGTACAAGTTCTCATATGTCCTGAGTCTTAATTGACCTTAGAAGGCTAGGGCCAAAAAGTTGGCTTTCCTTGTAGCCCTCCTTTTTCTCTAATTTTGGTCTGCAAACTTAGGTTGTTACCCATCCAGAAGACAAGCTTATTGTTATTATCAAATGATTTAGGCTATCAATCTTAACCTCACTATCTCACTGCATTTCAAACATCTTAGGCATAATAAGGAACAGGTATTTTTCATCAAGTATTGATATGTTGAACTTTAAGTCCCTACATAATATGATAAAAAACATTTAAAAATTAGATTATATTTTAAAAAATAGGATAAAGAATTCTGTGCTTCTCATGTTTGCACATAAGTCCAAAAATCTCATCATATACAACCTTGAAGCAGGACAGTCCCACAATATTCCTTTTCCTGTCTCTTGCTTTCATTCACCACCCCCTTCTTCTTGAACATCTACCTATGTGGGTGTGGTTTATAAAGAATATTTTTTATTATTTCTTCTTCCATAGTGTAATTGAGGGGGCCTGCCCATTAGCTGAGTTGTTTAAATGCCTGCTTAAATGAAGCAGTCAGTCTCTGGGCATGGTGGTTTGATTCCCAGATACTCAAGTCAACCCAGACCAGCACTGGAGGCGATCTGGAGACGCCAAAAAAAAAAAAATAAATAAAAAGCCCTTCTGCATAGTGTAATTGAGAATGTTATTGAGTAGGCCTTTTGTTTAAATGCTATGAAGATGATACACTGATACAAAGAATATTACCTTAATCATACTGATAAAATGACCTTTAGTGCTGCCTTAAGCATTGTCATAAGTAGCCTACATACTATCTCACTGCAACCCTATAGACAGTATTCTCTCCATTTAATATTTGTGAGAATTATAGCCAAAAGGGATTAAAAAACTGTCCCAAGGAGCTGGGGAGATAGCTCTATGGTTTAAGCTATCTCCACCTGCCTGGCAAATGCAAGGACCCAAGTTAAGTTCCCAGTATAGCATGCCTTGCTGGCCTGAAACACAGGGCACACAGTGGCAGCCTGAAATTGAGCGTGGTGGTACATACCTGTAATCCAGTACTGCAGAGGCTGAGATGATAGAACCTCTAAAGTCCAAGCTGCATAGAAAGACCTTATACCAAATATATAAATAAAGTAAAAGATTTTATTTATTTTTTTTCAAACTTTTATTGATAAACAGATAGCAATGAGACAGTTTCAAATCAAATCGGAAGTACAGTTTCAACAAATAAAACACTGCATATATTCTTCTTAGGAGTTAATTGCTGTACAAGATGCAGACTTGTGATCCTATAGTAAAAGATTTTAAAACAAAACAAAACAAACAAAATACTGTCCCAAACCATATACTAGTAGATGGAAGAGCCAAGTGAGTTCTCCATCAGTCTCTGTGCCATGGCGTGGCCTCTGGTTCTGGTTGCTCCACTGTCATTTCAGGCAACCATCATCTCGCATGGCCTTGGTTTTGTCATGATTCCCACTAATTACAAAACGCTTTGCTTAGTGACACCAACTTTTACGTCTAAAATTCTTTCTACTTCCCAGACATAAATCCAGATGAGGAGGTTTGGACATTTGCTAGTTTTGCACAATTCATTTTATCAGTAACACAATTTTCTGAATTAATTGACCTTGTCTATTTTTAATTAAAATATTAAAGTGAAAATAATTATAAATACACATGAACAGAACTAATTAGTAATTATAAGCCTGTAGGAGTTTGAAGTTTTATGCTATTTAGGTATTTAAGTGATATAAATTACAGTATTTAAGAAACAAAAGGATACAGATTGTATAGCAGTTCTTGTCAATGCAGCTGATTTAAAAGTGTTAAACAAATAAAGCTTTGTCACTTGAAAACATTTTAATTAAAACTTTTAATTAAACTTTTAATTTGAAATTCACTGTGTACTTAGTGATAATTGAAAGCAATTCAGTTAAATACAGAGGCTGATTTATATTCATGGATAAAGGCAGCTGTTTATTAGGGCTTAATCTAGCCTACCTTCTGAATTGCCTGTTATAGAAAAGTACTTGAAAAATGTGGCAGTTCCCAGGCATGAACTGGAAACTAATGCAGTTGGCGTATATCACACCTACTGGTGAACTTCCTTTCTTAGCACCCCATCAGTTGTTACCCAAGTAGGTGGCTATCAGTTGTATTGCCAGCCTAAGGACTCATGTTAATTAGATTAAATTTATGATTTTTTTTTTTTTTTTTTGCAGAACTAGGGATTGAACTCAGACCCTTGCGCTTGCCAGACAAGCGCTTATTCTACTGAGCCATCTCCCCAGCCCCTATGATGTTTCTTAATATTTAAGAGATTTTAAAATAACATTACTAAAAGACCATTACTAAAAGAACTTTATAGCCTCAAAGAATTATATTCATTGTACTATCACCCACTCACTGGTCACAGAGTATACATGTTTGTGTATATCTATGTATGTGTTCACACATTCATATTTTTGGCATTTTAATCTTAATATTTGATAGTAATTTATAGGAAAGAAGGTTTTTTAGGTGAATAGTCTTGATTTTACTGTGCTCTTTGTATTCAATTTTCTTAGAATGGTTTTTATTGGAATCATCTTTTTAGCTTGAGACTTTATAACCTATGGAAAACAGTTTATCTGAAAGTAAGGATTTAACTTGTTAGTGACAGTTCATATATACTATATTATATTATTAATAATTTTATATATTTATATGATGTTTAATTATTAACTTCATTGGCATATTAAAGCTTCATATTAGGTATCATAAATGAGTTCTTTTGTTATTCCCAATTTTATGTACGCTTTACAGAGTCTGCCAGATTAAAAAATAACCCTTTAGAAAGGTAACAAGATGGGGATATTTTGCAATATCCCACTTCACAGGAAGTTTTCTCTAGCCCAGCTTCTCTTGATGTGTTCTGAATTCTCTAAGTCCCTCAAACCAGCAACTTTAGCTAAAACTTTTTTTAAAGGAATTAGTTTCTCAATTCTGGATAGCAGTACTGTGTAATAATGTATCCTTTAAAATGTAAGCTGATGTGAGTTAAGTCAGTGACTCTGCTACCTATAGCTTCTAGACTGCTCCACCACATCTATGTTTCTAGACTGAAGAGCATGCCCACTAAAGAATTTCTTTATTCTTTCAAGTCACCATCCTTTGTATTAATGTAGCTCTGTTTTATGCAAATTAGGGCAAAGTGCAATTGCTGGGGAAGAACATCCCAAAGGCCCTGTTCTGCAGGAAGTGCACCTGAAATTCCTGCTAACAGGGCTGCTTTCAGGGCTGCCCGCCCCACAGTTTGCCATCCGTATGTGCCCACCTCTGACTACAAAAAACATCAAGATGTATCAGCCACTGCTTGCTGTTGGTGAGTATGTGAATTGCTGTTTTTGTAAAGCTCATTTTGTAAGATACTTGTTTTTCAAATTTCTAGAAAAATTTTTATTCTCTTTAAGGAGGATGTAAAAGGATGAACAGACTGAATGAAGTTGTATAAGAACTCTTCATGTTGAAAAGGTTTTTGTCTTTTTACTCCAGTTACCTTATTTTTTATTTCAGTGAAATTTATCCATCTGGGACTGGACTGGCAAGTCTCTGATAGTATCAGTGTCTCTCTGAACACATTAAGAGGATAGTCCCAGTATGATAGTGAATCCAGGGTCAACACAGTGCTTATTACTTTGCATTGAGTCTTTGTTAAATAATAATGTAACCAGAGTTAGTTAAGACAGTTTAATAATAATAACCGTCTTCATTTGCTAAGAGTTGTGTATTAACCATTGTCTAAATAGGCTATGGTTTTTATAAACTCAGAATTGCTTTTTAGTTTGAAATTGTAATTTTTTATGTTAAAAAAATATGTATGAACTTCAACTTGCTGTCACACTAACTTCATCGAAACCTGATGAACTTGGTTTCCTTTACAGAAAACAAAAACAAAAAACCCTTAGTTTTTTCATATATGTGTAAAATTAAAATACATTTCTCCAAAAATTAGAAAATCTTTTAAACATTTTATCTTATGATACTGTTGGTTGGCTTCTTTCTTCTCAAGTCATATAAATTTGTGATTCTTTTTCTTCTTTTCTAAATGAAAACCTGGCCACATTTATTTTGTGGCCAACATTCTTGTGAATACTCATGACTTCTTAGGGTATTTCTTTTGGAGTTTTCATGTTTTTCTGTGGCTATCTTTTGAAAGTAATATGAGTTTGAAGAATGAATAATCTGGGAAGCCGGGAAGATAGCTCAGTAGAATAAGTGCTTACCTGGCAAGCGCAAGGGCCTGAGTTCAATCCCTGGTTCTGCAAAAAAAAAAAAAAAAAAAAAAAAGATTGAATGACCTGTGTCTACATGTGCCCAGATTTATATAAATATAGAAAGTATTTAATTTTTGCCTTAGAAACTATTCATATTTAACATTTTATAGAGATTTTATTTAAGACTCGCCAGTGTTCATTACATGTACATGTATATATATTGTCAGTGTACCTAATTTATCAATTGGAATTTTATCCATTTCTTGGACAATTATTTCTTATTATAGCTGTATAGTAGCTATCTCAAGGTCTTAGAGTTCTGTTGTTGAAATAAGTGGTAGTGTAGTAGCATACAATGGACATCATTTATTATACTCAGCATAACAAAATAAAAACAAATATATAAAATAGAAGCCTAAAGTCACAATGCAAGATAAGCAGCATCCAGTTATGGATCTACTCCTAGTGGTGTCCTTAGAGTATTAGATCATAGGCTCAGCATCATCAAAGACTTACAGAATGTGGAAGTCATTCGATCATTAGGAAGAGTAGGTAAGTTAAAATTTTCAGGATTTAACTGCTGTTACCACAAGTTATTATGAAATAGCTGATAAATATAGGCAATAGTGTGGTATCGTTTTTTTCTAGAATAATTATGTAGATTTGTAGAACTTTTTGCTTCTATTCTGTTGCCGTGTTGGATACATTAGTAATTTAATATATGTTGAAAAAATGATTGTCGATTATACTTTTCACTTTTCTTGCTTAATTTATAAAAAATATTTTATATACTAAAACTTTTTCAAGAATGTCCATGTCTTTTCTTCTTAATTATACTGTCTGAGACCACAGAAAACTTTAGGAGCAATGGTAGCCAATACTCACTAAGGTAATACTAGTTAATCCAACACTTACTTTGCATGAAATGCTGTGCTTTGCATCTCACTTTTCTCATTTAATCATAAACAAGTAGTTTCTGTTATTCTTCTTTTAAATTGGTAAAACATAGGTTCAGTACAACTTACCCAAGAATACAGACCCAGATCATGAACCCGGGCTTTAACTACAAAAGCCACATTTAACCACCATGCCTTACTATCTTATTATCATTTATTTAGTACGAGACAAAACAAAAATAATAACCTTGTTAAAAAAGAAAAAGAAAAATCTGGTTAATAAGCTTTACTAGGTTCTGTTTTATCAAGACCAGCAATGATTAACGTTCGAAATCTCAAATATGTAACACCCATGTGTAAAAATATTTAGGGAAGTGCTACCGCAAATAGCTATGTGTACTGATTTAGTCTTCTAAAGTCTTTTTGTGGAAATTTATCCCTCAACTTGGTAAAATTTCATTGTGTATGCAATTAGGCCCTTTTTTACATAGAAGAGGTTAAAGAAATGTATTTTGTAAGCACTTATGTTGGGTCACTTTTGTAGAACATAAATGTGAAATGATTAAAATTTTGAGAAGAAACTTGTTGCCTCTTGGAAAGAATTAGAATTACCACTAAATTAGTGCTCTTCTGTTACATCATTTGGTAGGCACAAGTAATGGTTCTGTCCTAGTGTATCACCTCACCAGTGGCCTGCTGCACAAGGAATTAAGCATCCACTCATGTGAAGTCAAGTGAGTATGTCCTTGTGACTTTGACATTGAAAATGTAGGTAATATCAGAAAGAACTCCTCATAACAGGTGCGTTGAATACTTTGTAATGGTATCTGCAGTGGTAATTATTTGAAAAGTTTGAATAATAAATATTCATATCTAACTAATGGCTGTGTTAATCAAGAATTAGTACCAATTGCTTTGTAAAGCACGTAAGAAACAAAATCTTTATTTCTCCTGAGGGCCAGGTTACTTTCTCATCCAGAATCACTGTTGCCTTGTTCAAGTTTTGTTGTCTTCCAATTTGATAAGGATTGATCATTAGGGTTGCTCATAACATATTTGAATAAAATCATTTTAATTATTAACTAACCATATTATTTGGTTCAGGCACCATTGGAAAAGACCCAAAATTGTATAGCATTTATTCTTTAATTTTGAGTGGTCTAGGTATGAGTGCTGTGTGTGTGCATACATGTATGAGAGAAGCCTAAGTTGACAGAAGAGTGCCTCTTGTTTCTGCATACCTGCTCCATAGCATTATTTTACTGAACACTATACTGTTTTCTTCTTTTGCCCTTTCAGTGATAGGTTATAGTTACAATATAATGTGTTTCCAGTATTTTCCAGTGATCTGTAAAAGTATAAGAAAGGCTGTTCTCTGTCTTCTATATGTTATATAATTGTAAGTCTCATGTGTATGTTAAGATTCTCAGTGAACCTTTAATGAATACATTACGCTGATTTTTTTCTGGATGGAAAAGACTTAACTCTTGGGGCCAGGGAGATGGCTCAGTGGAATATGCACTTGCCTGGCAAGTGCAAGGGCCTGAGTTCAATCCCCAGTTCTGCCAAAAAAAAAAAAAAAAAAAAAAAAAAAGAAAAGACTTAACTCTTGAGTATCCCAGCTTTTGTATTAGAAATGCTTGAAAGATTTACAAGACTTTATTCCTTCAAGTGAGTTGTTTTGCAATGTTTGGTGCCTGTTTATTGCCTCTTTACGTTGTAACTCTTCAGTATCTTCACAAATACATTTACATGGAGTAGTAATATTTTCAAAAGCATTTTGCTTTGGGGGTACAGTATCTCTTTAGCTTTTTCTAGATTGTTAGCTTTCTCCTCAGATGCAGGATTTTTAGCTTGCCACTCTGGTACTTATTTCCTCCAGTAGCCTTTGCTGCTGCTGCTGCTATTCATCTTTCTCTTTCTTTCCTGTCTATGTTTCTGTCCTTGATATTTCTTTACCTTGGTTGTTTCTATGTGTTGTTTTTGTCACCAATACCAACCAGTCAGAACTCTTCCATTTAACCAGTTCTTGTCCCAAGGATTATGTTAATACTTCACATGCATCATTTCACTGAATCCACTTCATACTGCTAATGGGTAGCCAGTATTATATTTCAATTGATAGAGGAAGAAATAGAATTACAGAGTAATCTATAAAGGAACTACATGAAATTCATTCTGGACCTTTCAAGCTTCAGAGCCTGAGCCCTTAAGGAACATGTGCAAGATTTCTTAAAAATGTGCATAGGTCAGTAGGAATCATGTTGACAATTTAAAATATGGTAACTGAGGCAAGATTCATTCTAAAAATTTGACACATGCTTCTGGAAAATCAAGCACATTGTCATTTTGTTTCTGAATACTGAAAACTTCAGTAGCTAGTTTATCCAAAGTATTAGTGTTAGATAAGACTTTTTAACCTAGATCATGCAGGTTGTAAATGTCCCTACGTAAATGACTTGTGAATACTATATTTACAGTTGAGTAATGCTACAGTTGTTTACAAAGTGTGAATTGGATACTTACCACTAATGGTTGTACTACTCACAAAATTAGCATTGTGTGTGATCATATACAAGCCCTCCATTTCACATACGAATTTACATTTTTTAATTCCTTTTTTGAAGATCACTCGTTTTATATTCAGAAGTGTTACTCAAGAGGATGCTAAAATCCTGCTGTCTTTGTGTTTCAATTAATGCAATTCAATTAATGTTTCAATTAGTACTACAATTAAAAACCATTATGAAGATTTCACAAATGTGTTATAAAAAATTCAGAACTGATTAGCAATAAACCCAACACATACTAGCTTTTTATGTGAAAATTAAAGCTGACTTTTAGAAAAATGTTTTTCTCTCTTGTACATGAATCTTGTGCATACATGTGGCTGTACAACTACAGATAGGTAAGGGAGTGTGTGTGTGTTTTAAAACCCATGACGTTTAACTAGTGATACAGACACCTATTGAACTTCTTCTATATACCTCCATACAAAGGTTTTGATGCTTATAATATAATGGATGATCCCTAAGGGAGGTAAAGTGGAGTGATAAATGTTGATATTATTAGATTATTAGTTTGTGTCTTTTTTTCCTTAAGATGAATTTAAAATAATATATCATGGCACTATTTTTATGTCAAAAGTTATTAATATTTTATATGGATATTAGAACATTGACCCAGTATCACTTTGATTAAATCTGTAGAAAATAACATGATATCTGTTTTGTCTGTCTACACAAGCTTGCAGGAGAGTCTTAAAACTCTGAGGCTTTCAGAAGTGTCAGTCTTCCACTAGCCATCCGTGTTGAGAAGAGGCCTCTAGTGTAATCAGCGGGTGGTCAACAAGTCTAGTGTGGGAACCCATAGGAGTCAGAACCCAGGCACCTGCTGATAAATTCAGAGGTCACAATTGTTTATTAGTTAGACGTCTGACAGAACAGGAAATCCTAGAACAGAAAATGAGCTGCTGTTCTTAGTCATTTAGAGCCCCCAAGATATTAAATCTAAATGATACTATTCTAATCCTGAGGGCAGTAGAGCTCAGATACGTTTGATAAAAGTTTTTATTCTTCTGAGTAATAATCCCTTCCTTATCTAACCCACTTTGAAGTTCAACTTGATTTTTTTATTTTCTTCTTTAGGAATGGGGCATTTAAGCTCATGCTACTTATACTATAAAAGCAGCATGCTTATACTATAAATTAGGCAATATGATTATACTATAACATAAGCAGCCACCTCATGTTCTGTTATATCCTGTACTCTGGGACATCTTAAATAAAGGGGAGCACATTTCTGTGAATATGCATGAAACTTAACACATGGAAGAGTGCTGGGTTTTTCTTGGACATCATTTGTTCAATCTAACAGGATTCCTGAGTGCTGTCACATACCTGGGGAGATGTGATGTGGTACCTACCTACCTTCAAAGAGAGTACAGTCTAACAAAGTTCCTCAGTCACTTGTTATGTTTTCTCAGTAATCTCAGTCTTAGATCCAAACTCTTTTCCCTTTGAGTCTCAACTGTAATAGTTTCTCTAGAAAGCCCTTCCTACCTCCTGAGACCAGATGATAAGAGACCCTCAATCAGCTTCTATTGAACTCTGCAGCTGTCTGTTTCTCCTAGATAATACAGAGTACACTTCCACACTGTCTCTTCTCTGCTAGAATGTAAGCTTCAGAAGGACTCTTGCTGGCTGTATTCCTAGTGCTTTAAAAGTCACGAGCTTATACTTGATGCTTCTTTGAAAATACAAGAGAGCAATAGGAAGACAGAATTCCTAGTATCTAAGATAGTGATGTCCATTAGTTAATTTGGATTGCTAGCAACGATGTTAGAAGAAAAAAGGTGCTAACAGGGCCAGGTCTCAACATTTCAAAAGGAACTGGCAGTATACCTTAATTTTTTTCTGTCTTTGACAAGTCATGTAGGCCACTGTCTAGAGTACAGATAGAGTTTATTGCAAAAAGTATAGATTTTTTAGAGAGAAAAGGAAGTACATCTTCAGACATGTAGGTTAGCAAGGGCCAAAATGGCAAGTGTACTGTGTGAGTTCTCAGGCTACATTTTCTGTATATGATTAACTGGGTGTTTTAAGTCATTCTTTCCTTTTACTAAAGTTGTTGTGTAAATAAAATAGGCTATGTTTACCTCCTTCAGAGAAGAGTAGGTCCGTGTTTACTTTGTAGGTGGATGTCTCTTCAGCTTGTTTTGTGACCTTGATAATTTTTTTACCCCTCACACATGGCCTGAACTTTTTTTTTTTTACATAATTTTATTAAGATAAATAGCAATGAGACAGTTTCACATCAAATTGGTAGGACAGTTTCAATAATTAACACATTGTCTTTAGTGGTTATTTGTTGTACAAGATGCAGACATGATATCCTATTCACAAACACTATTAGACCAAATCCCTCTATTCCTTGAATTAAGAGAATGTAACTATATATCTATTCTAACCATTTTCAATACACAGATACAAAATGGTCATTCATCTATATCCCCCTTTTTTGCTTAGTTCCATCATTTAAATATTATAGGTATGTGAACTCAGCAAAATATTCCAAAATAGTCCAGTGGTCCATAATAGTACTGGATCTTCCACTTGAATGGCAGTAACAGAAGTTGTTGACCTGAGTCCCCTACAGCTCAACATAACAACATGGCTTTATTTCTTATACTTCGTTTTTATACTTTTCTGCTGGATGGTTAAGACCAAGATAAAGCAAGACCTATGTAACAAGAATTGTAGCTTTTGAATCTTGATAAGGTCAGTCAAATCCCCTCAGGATTTATCCTGAGACCCTCTACCTCAGATTGTAGATCCTTTGTGAGTGTCAGCCATGTGGATGAGTGACAGCCATTGCTTGGCCAATTTGCTCTCTGTGAAAGCCTGAAAGAATGTTTTCTCTCCATGTGACTCTCCTTAGGCACACTCTACATCATTGACCACTTTCCTCTTTAGCTCCATAATCTCCTTGATCAGAAAATTTGGGACAAACTGAGTTACATGACGTTACAGTACAAGTTCTTATATGTCCTGAGTTTTAATTGATCTTGGAAGGCTAGGGCCAAAATGTTGGCTTTCCTTACGGCCCTCCTCTTTCTCTAATTTTTGCTCTGCAAACTTAGGTTGTTAACCCTCCAGAAGAGAAGCTTATTGTTATTACCATATAACCTAGGCTGTTGAGCTTAACCTCACTGTCTGTCTGCATATCGAACATC